TCCTTTCAGGTACACGCACATCCATGTGCTGTTCTGTAGCCGTCGTTGTCAGCTCCTGCTGTATCGTTCCTGAGGGGTGGCACCTGAACATGGGCCTCCCAATGCAAATGCACCATTCTTTGCTCTGCTGTCATTATATTATCTTCTGCATTATTTTTATATCCTCTTATTAATGCACCCACGCACTCCATTTGCATTTTTTAACCTTTTTTAAAACACTTTCATTACAACAATCAGATGTAAGAGCAAAGAAATTTGTGGAATAATAGAAGGGAAGAGCTCGATTCTTGCTCAGACCTATACCTATTTTAAACTCCTCTGGTGCCACTGATTTTAATTTACGCCAAAAAGAAAGAGAGGGGATCAGACCCAGCATGTCCACACTGAGAAATCACTTTTTTTTTTTTTTTTTTTTTTTCAATATAGAGATATCACTGTTTGGAGAAGGCACTGTTTCTTTCAGGGGACGGTAACCTCTCTGCAGGCAGAGGGCTGCAGCAGGGGGTAGTGTCGGAGGATGCTGGAGGCCTGGATGCTGGGAGCGTTCGGCAGTGGCTGTGCCGGGGTAAGATCCTGGTTGCCCACACGTGGTCGTGTCCTGCCTGGGCTGCCCAAACTGCAGCCCTGACCCTGCGCTCTTTGCTCTGTTTTATGACGCATCTGATATGAACCCGTGTGTAACTCGCAGTCAGAGGTGGGGCTGCTCCTCCTGCCCGCACCTTCATTCTGCTGCTGCTGCTCCTGCTGCCCGTCTGACTCCTGATGAAGCAGCCCTGGGAACTGACCTGGCAGAACACTACTCACGTTGCTGGATTCCTTTCCTGCTAGCATCCTCTGATGTCTTGCCAAGGGAAGAGGAGCATCAGTGTGGGTACGGGGAGGTATTTGTGGTTGCTCAAGAGAGAGGGAAGATGGTAAAGCAATAGCATCAAACTAAATTGGGTGGTTGTAAATCCACACCCTTGCAACTCCTTGTCTGCCTTGCACAATTGCCACCAAGTGAGGGGGTTGGTTTCCTCCTCTTTCACTATTAGCAATATCTGGCTGTGGGTTTTTTATTTGGTTTTCTTTTCCCCCTTTTTTTCATAGGTTACTTGCAGCTAGATCACTTCAGAGGCAAGAAGCATTAATGGCAGCAGTGGGAATGCACGAGAGTAGGAAGAGAAAGCAGGAGAAATGGCAAGGAATGGGAAAGACGAGACCTCCTGTGGGACCTGCAGCAGAGCATTAGGGCTGTGACACGGGGCGCTCGTGCCCCGTGGCCCTCCCTGGCGCGGGTGCTGCCGCAGGTGCTGCCTCAGCCGGAGCCCCGCGGGGAGCAGGAGCTCCATCCTCCTCTCCCCCTGCTGCAGCCGCTGCGCTGGGGCTGGCCCTGGTGACACCTGCAAGCACCCGCACGTTCCCCCTCTGCACGCTGGGGGAGACCCTGTGTTACCCTGTTTCTTCACCCTGAGGCAGTGTGCAGTTGCAAGGAGGTGGGCAGAGCGGTGGACAAACACTGCAGAGCACTGGGAGCCGTTTCCAACCACTTCGGGGTTTCTTCGGCCGGGCTTTCCTGATGCTCAGGAGCCCTCTGCAAGTTGTCCCAGGGAATCCCTGTGCTGGGAGGAACTTCCCCTTCCTCCAGGTGAGGGAACAGGGAATTAAACCAGCACGCTGAGCTCCTTAACCATTAGCAAGAAAGCTGTTCCACAGTCCTGTCAGTCAGCTGGTTGGTGTATGCTGCTTAATTAGCATGATCATTTAAGTCTTTCACTTGCATTTGTCCACCTCAGCTGGAACCTCCCCTTACATGCAAAATGGCTTTGCTATTTAAATGTGGGCTTGTGTCTACCTGCCAGCTGCTACCTCTTCTTGGAGCTCCAAGACAGCTGACATCCCTGCCAGTATAGGTAATATTTTAGGCTGGAGACTAGTTGGCAGGACTGAGTCGAGCCTCCCTTTTATCCAATCCAATCCCCTTTGACGTGACTTCAAGGAGACACCGAGTGGAAGAGGTATTTCTTTTGTTAAAACTCTTATGTTTTTGGAACAGTGGGCATTGCTAGAAGCTAAAGAGGTGTCCGCAGTGTTTTGTAGGCTCAGGTAGAAGTGAGGTGCCTGTAGTCTCCCACCAAATGAATGCTAAGAAAATTACCTGGGGCTCCCTGTACTCTCTCTGAAGGACTGAGAAAAACCCTGTGCTTTAAAGCACAGGAAGCACTTCCAGGCTGAGCCACAGCATTTTAAAAGAACTTGATTGATTTGGCAGGAAAGCCTGGACAGAGGAGCCTGAAAATCCCCTTGTAAGCGTGGTGCTAAGCTTTCCCACCAGCAAAACTTTCTGTTTCTAGTGAAGTTAAGTAGAATCCTGCTGCTAGAGCGAAGCAAGCTTTTTACCTTCTGAGGCTTGAACTGTGAATGTGTTCAGTCCCAGCTTATTGTTTGACAGGTTGGGCTGGCAACTCTCCTTTTGGAGCTTGCTTGGAGGGTGACTTGTGTCAGAGCAGGGCGCTGTGTGGGAGAGGGCTGCCCGCCTTGCCCGGGAGCTGGAGCTCCTGCAGGAGCCAGCCGAGGGGCACGAGGGAGCTGGAGAGAAGCCCAGCAACATCCCCTTGGAAATACCTTCTTTTCTTTAGGAAAACAAAAGAGAAGAGGTATTTCAGCATAGCTGAAAATTATCAGTTAAATTATCAGTTTGGACCACACTATAAATCCAGCTGTGATGCTGAGTAGGGAAGTGCTGGAGCCGGCTTCTCGTGTGTCTTGCAGAGCAGGATTTTAATTGGGTTTTGCACGTGCCTCTCTTTTCCCCTAGAGTAGGAGTGTTTGTTTGTCTGGGATCTACCCGCAGGTGCCAATAGCCTCCTGCTCGGAGCAGCAGAGCGCTCGCGTGGGGACCGAGGGAAAGGAGTTCAGCCTGTTGTCTCACTTCTGCTGGTTTGGGTTTAAAGATATACTGCCACCTCGGTTTGGACCCAAAGGTGTTAAGGATGGGTGTATAGAGATGCAAAGGCCAGTGGAAATTTATCTTTTTTAGATCTCAAACCCACCATATACGTGTTTGCTGACAACTTTGTTTGTTAAATTACCTTGTTGAATGCTCCTCCACATGCTGGACTTGCAAGCCCAGCTCATGGTTTCTGTTCAAAGATGATCCAGCTGATACAGGTGTAAGCAACACATTTCCACTTGTGCAAGTTCCCTGTGTGTAGTTCAGGCCTCTGTTTCCAAAGCTTTGTCTCTTTAAAGATATTGCCATGATCTACTAACTGTGTCTTGCCAGTGTCCTTGGATCATCCTGGCTACAGCAGCACTGCCACCTTCTCCCTTGCAAGCCAGCTGGCAGATGGCATTTCAGTCAGTCTTAGGAAGGGAGCAGCAACAGGCCCCAAGTGTCCCTTGGCAAGTGGATTTCGGAGAGAAACGTGTGGGTTGAATTCCTGTGGGGCTAGGGTACCTATTGTTTTTGCCTTTGAAAATAAATGGAGTTTAGGAGAAGACTCATTTCCTTTCAACTGTCTGGAAAAGCCAAAAATTCTTCATATTAAGGACATCAAGCTTATGAAAAACTCTGCATTGTTGATTTTGTGTGAAAACTGGAAACTCCGTTGCGGCTCAATGTCTGCTTGAGGATTGAGCTAGGAGGAAGGCAGAAGCTGAATACTGTCTGGAAGCGTACTAAGAAAAGATGGAAGTCTCTGTAGCACGTACGTGTGTGTATATAGATTTGTACACAACGTGCTGTATCCGTGTGTGTAGGTGCACACTCAGGTACCCCTGTGCGGTTCCTGTCTCATGGCAGTCGCTCGGTTCTGCCGCCTTCCTCGCTTACGCTCGAGGCTGCCATGGCCAGGAGGCTCCGGCTTGTTTCTATGGCAGCTCTTCCCAGCCCCGCGGCATCCCGCGTTCCCTGTTTGGCAACAAGAGGAAGAGAGGAGCACTGAGGCCCACACTGTGGAGATCCGTGTTCCTCCAGGGAGAGGCTAAGAGGAGGAGCACAGAAGGTGCCTGCGGGTGACAAGCTCATACCTGGGTGCTGGAGGCTGTTCCCTCCCCGGACCCTGTGCTGCAGTGGTGTCTCGGAGCCCTTCCTGCAGCCAGGTCTCTGAGTTTGCTGAGGCAGCCCCAGGTCCTTTCTTTTCTTGTCTCCCTCTTGCCCAGACCTGTCAGAGGGTCACAGGGAGCCAGCAGCTGGGTCCAAACCAGGCACACTAGGACACGAGTCCTGGTGGCAGGAGGCTCGTGGTGCCAGGATGGGTTAGGGTACCTCTGGAACACTAGGAAGAGGCTGACTAATCTCTCTTTAAATAGTCTGGAAACGCTGTGAGCTCCTGTTACAGGAGCTGCAAGAACACAGCCAAGAACATGGTCTATATAAATAGCTGGATGCAATGTGCTGTACGGCACCGCGCTCTGCTCCAGGAAGGTTTTCCTCTTTCTTCGCGCTGCTGCACGGATAGCTGAGATCGGTCCCTAGGAACACTACTGTGTAATAGCAGTTCTGCTGTGTGCAGGTTTTTTTCTTTTTTTCCCCAGACTGCTGCATCTTCAGTGACAGAGAGGAGGGAGAAGCTGCCCTTTCGAGCCAGCCCTTCTCTCCACTGGCTCTGCCTCTCTGTTCCAGTGGGCCTGTGGCTTGCTCCACTCTGTACAGCTGGCTTCAGCTAACGCAGTGCTTGCCTTTTTTGATCAACCAAACATCTCACTGATATTTATAGCATAGGAAAGGTGAAAGCAAGCAATATTTGAGTGTTTGAGTTGTAACTGTGGACCTGGATCAGAGCATAATCAGATTTTCCTGTGTTTGAAGGCCAAACTTAACTCATCCAAGCTGTCCCAACTCAGTAACCAGTACTGTAAAGAAAATCTTATCTGGTTTGTATAGTTACACTGGTTGCTAATATCATCTTATCTTCTCTCTTGTAAAACAGAAAGGTGAAAGCTGCTCTCCAGGTAGATACCCCTCCCCTGCTGCTGCAGAAGTGACTTCCATTTTGCCTCCATCTAGCCCTGAATTAGCAAGAGAGCCTTTAAAAAGGTAAGGACCTGATGCACTGTCAGCAACTGCTACAGAGCTCCTCAAGATGGAGGTAAATGGGAGAATCCTAAACAAAGAGAAATGCGTGTTTTGCCTCAGCAGAGGTAGGAGGCATTTGAATTTCTTACTCATAGTGTATTGTCATCTTCTCCCTGCCATCCTGCCCACTCGATGCGTCAGAGATCTAAGGCTTATGTGTGGTTTTTTTTTTTTTCTCCTTATTATTTATTTTTTTCCTTCTTTGCTGAGCAGACGGTAATCAGGCCTTCAGCCCCTGGTGCATCATGTCAAAGCGTGTGTGTGTTTGTTTTCCAAGACAAAATTCCCCTGAGCCCCTGGGTTTTTACTAGGGCAGATCCGCTCATGGAAGCAGCTTTCTGCCAGAGGAAGTAGGGCAGGGTGGGCCGACAGGCAGGAAGAGGGACCACGTTGCAGGTGTCATGAGCCAGCTTCCCCAGGGCCCCCCACCATGGCTTCTCTTGCTCTAAAGGACCTGTGGGAATGATGAGGCTCTTGCCTGAACAGATGCTACCCAGCTGTAGCTCCATGCAGTTGATCACTTTGTTTTCAAGTGCTGTAGGGCCCTTGGGAACGCTTGCTTGGTCCTTTGGGTCACTGCTTGGTTGCTTCAGGCAGGCTGCTGTCTTCCCTTTCCTCTTAGAAATCTGGAGGGCCTATTTCCAGTTCTGAAGTCTAACTCATTAGGTCTTCACCCTGCACTCTCAGATCTCTGAGCTCCTGCTGGTTGACTCCTTCCAACTGGGACTACTTAAATCTTCTCAACTCCAAACTAAACCAAGAAAAATTCTGGTCTGTGAACTTTATTTTAAAAAACAAACAAGCACAGCAAAAACCAGACAGCTTTTTCATTAACTGTTTTTAATGCTCTTACCTTACTTTGCTTCAGTAAAATCAGCCAGGCTGTTCCTGGGCTAAGTCTGGCCCATGTTGTGCACTAGAGCACTGTTTGGAAGGATACAAGGAGAAAATGAAACCAAAAGGAGGGGAAATTGCATTTCAGTGCAGGACAGGTCACCCTGGGCTGGGAGAACAAGAAGTACCAGGATCTGCCCCAGCTACTCTCAGCCTTGCTTGGCCAAGAGTGGGTCCAAATGTAGCGCGTCTCCCTCTTTCTCTAGCGCAATGGCTTCGCTTCCCATTTTGGAGCAGGAGACGTTATTCCAGAACGGTACGTGGAGCTATCGCATTCCAGCCTTGCTCTACCTGCCGCGTTTCAGCACCATCCTGGCGTTCGCTGAGGAGCGGGAGGACGTGGTGGATGAACACGCCAAGCTAATCGCCGTGCGCCGAGGGGAGTATGACCCAACCACGCACCACGTTCAGGTACCTGCATGGGGAGCAAGTGGGGGAGACTGCGCAAACACACGGCTCCCCTGTCCCCAGATGAGTTGAATGTGTCTGCTCTCCCCAGCGTAATCAATGGCTGTCCTTCTCCCCAAATTTGACTCAAATACTGCCTACAAGTAATGCAAGTTCATTATCATAGGCACTTTTTTTTCTCTTGAATTCTGAAAGTCCTGTTGCTACAGCAAAGATATGGAGGAGGGACAGAAAAGGGGAGTAACAGAAATGGGGAGGAGTGAATTAGCAACCAGTGCACTTCTTTTCTTTTTTTTTCCTCATTGTCCTAGAACTAATATCTGTTTTTAAAAGACAATTGGGAACAGCTAGTCTCCCCACGCAAGAGTGTCGTCTGGTTTCTCAGCGATGGTGAATTGGCTACCTTATTAATCCACCGGTTAATAATAACTGTTATCTTGCTGGGTGACTGGGGTAGAGGATACTCTATTTATAATCATTTCTTACAACTGAAAATGCATTAATGTTATTAAAAATATATATATTCTTCTATTCCAACCCTTTGGCAGTAACTGGCTGTCTTAGACTATAGACTCTTAACAGTTTCACAGAATCAGCCTCAGAGCCCACCTGCACTGTCACTTCATTCAGCTGCAACCCTCTCTAATTCAGTTAAGTAGAGCTCAGCTGGTCATAAATTCAGTAATTTCTGTTCATGTGGTAGTTTCTTAAAGTAGAGATGTTAGATATTCCCCGCAAAAAAAGAAATACTGGTTGAACAGGCAGAGATAAGACATGAGCAAAGAGGGCAATCTGCAAGTCAGGGTAGAAGCAAGTCATGGCAGTGACATAAATTAGCTTTTCTACCCTATTTTTTATTTGGCAAACCAGAAACTTTAGGAATAACCTTCTAATTGCAACAGAAGCGAGAGGAACAAGATTGTGTCAGATGCTGCTGCCCATAAGGAAGGATGGAGGGGTGGGAGGGAAGGTAGAGCTGCTCCGCCACTGCCTTGCTGTGTGATACCCAACAGCTCAGGGCCTGTGTTTCCACACAGGGCTGTGTAAGGCCTCGAGACCAGCTCTGGCAAGATATTGCTCTGTCGGGGAGATGCCCGTTTGCCCATTGATCAAAATGGAAGTGCAGAAGTTTCAGTGGGACATGAATCTGCACCCTATGCACTCACAAAGGACTGAGCTAGTTGGCCTCCTAAGAAGCACTGACACGGCACAGGGACTGTACTAGCCTATTTGGACCACTGTGCCTGTCCATGTGTCTACATTATGTGTACATATATATATATATACACACACACTTGTGAGAGCTTCTGAAGACTCTGCTACTGTATTTTTCTACACAGTGTCACTGGACGCTGATCATGCTGAGCGGCAGAGCATCAGCTCCTCAGTGAGTGGTAAATAGAAAGGAGATCAGGATTTCACCCTGCTTGGTGAAATGATGTGCATGAGTACAGTGTTATCCAAATAACATCTATTTGTTTTCATTTACCCTTGGATATGCCAGTATACCATCTTCTCACCTCCTGCTCTCTTCACTGACTTGTTACTTCTCTCTTGTACTTTGACCTGTGACTTTTGGCCGGGTGTTCTCACCCTGCAATGTGGATTTACTTGTGACGATGTGTTTCACTCTTGCCTCCCTTCTCATGGGTCCTGCTAGTGGAGTGGGATGGAGACCATCGTCAGTGCGCAGCTGAAGGACCACCGGTCTATGAACCCCTGTCCTGTTTACGATGAGGTCTCGGGGAGCCTCATCCTGTTCTTCATAGCTGTCCCAGGGAAGATCTCCGAGCAGCACCAGCTCAGGACAAAGATCAACCTGGTACGTCTCTGCCACGTCACTAGCTGGGACCAGGGCCGCACATGGAGCGCTGCCCAGGATCTCACAGAGGGCACCATTGGCAGCGAGTACACGAACTGGGCCACTTTTGCAGTGGGACCAGGTCATGGATTACAGCTGCACAACAGGGCCCACAGCCTCGTGATTCCTGCCTATGCCTATCGCATCCTCGGCTCTCAGCAGCTCTCCCCTCATGCCTTCTGCTTCCTCAGCTCTGACCACGGGGCGACGTGGACGATGGGCAACTTCGTGGAGGAGGAGAGCGCGGGGGAGTGCCAGGTGGCCGAGGTGCGCAGCGGTGGCCGGCCGCTGCTCTACTGCAACGCGCGGAGCAGCGCGGGCTCCAGGGTCCAGGCCATCAGCTACAACTACGGCGTGGACTTTGAGGGAGGCCAGCAGGTTGAAGCGCTCGTAGAGCCTCCCTTCGGATGCCATGGAAGCGTTGTTGCCTTCCCGCCTCCCACCAACGCCAGGAGCCAGGATAGCTGGTTGCTCTATGCTCACCCTACAGACCCAAGGGGTCGAAAGGACTTGGGAATCTACCTCAACAAAAGCCCTTTAAATGCAGCATCCTGGACGAAACCAAGTATCCTCTTCAAGGGCTTGTGTGCCTATTCAGATTTGCAGTACATGGGGGTGGGCCCAGATGGCTCGCCCCTCTTCTCCTGCCTCTTCGAATTTGGCACTCACCAGCAGCACGAGAAGATGATCTTTGTCATGTTCACTTTGAAGCAAGCCTTCCCATCCCAGTCATGAGTGTCAACCTTTCCAAGATCCCTCAGAAACCATCTTTCCTGGTACTACTTCTTACTCTCCCTTCTCAGCTTTCAGCAGAAAGTTTTTCTTACTCCCCTCTTGCCCTCGGTTTGCTATTGGTTTGTGACATCTATAGATTATGAAGTCTATTAAACATACTGAAACTAAAGATACTTGGGTTTGTTTTCCTTTATCTGTTCTGTTGCCTTGCCTCTCCTTTGGCTGCCTTAAGCATCTCGCCCTCAAGACAAGCATGGCTTTCACCCAAGGCTTCTCACCCTGGGCCTCTGCTAGGCTTCATGAGGGCCACACAAGTGGATGGCACAGGGACCATGTAGACAAGAGTGGCAGCGATTTGCACTGACATGGGTGTTCCTTCTCCACCTGCAGGTATCTCCTGTAGGAAATCATGGTGCCTCGGGCTAGGTGCCCTCCTGGCAGCCGGTGCTAGAGGCGGTGGTCTTGAGGACTTGCTGCTCAGAGAGGCCGTGTGAGATTCTTGTCTTGGGATGTTCCCTACCTGCTTTCATGCTGGAGCCAGCGCTGTCTTCCTGCAATGTACCTCTGTCCAGCTTAGTCTTTGCCTTGCTTCCCAGGCCCTCTATGCTTGCCTTGCTGCCCTTTTGCTTAAACTGCACTAAGTAGCTGCAACTTCTCATGCGCAAGGACACAACTTCCCATGCGCAAGGACACCGCTCTCTCGCATAGTCCCATCATTCCTTTCCCCGGGCAGTGACCATGGGACATGTGCGGGCAAAAAGCAGGATTTGGGGCAGGGCTAGTAGTTCAAGGGGCACTTTGCTGGTCTCAGAAGTGCAGGATCAGGACAGGTCTGCAGAGGGAGCTCCCAATTTGTAGTCCAGAGGGAAAATAATTGCTGCTGCTCTTAACACAAGTGCTGAGCCTGTGGAGAAACTGCTCTTAACTCTGGCAGTCCCATGGCTTAAAGGAACGGCTCTTGCTGCTGGAGAACGTTGTTGGCATGTGGGGCAGTGTGTCTAATGGGTACATTGCTCTGCTTCCAGCAACCTGCACAGGCAGGAGTGCGAGAGGAAGGGGCCTGGCCAAGCCCCAAGCAGCATGGGAGGGCTCCAGCTGGAAGGCTTTCCAAAGTAGCTGGATCTTCAGCAGGTTCCTGAGGGAAATAGCCCCACTTTTGGTGACAGAGAGCCTCTTCTGAGGCTGAGGTGTGATCTAAGAGGACATGTCATATACTGTTAGGAGACAGTGTCCAGAAATGAATTGCCACCAATGGACATGCTCAAGTAGATGGTGTCAGGAAAGGTTTGACCGTGTCTCTGGACAAGATTCTGCTTTAACACTCAGTCCATGCTTGCTCACCATGTGCTATATGCTGGGCATGTGCATGTATAGAATAAGTGCCAAGGGCAGGAGTGTGTTTGCTCTCTCGATGAAGGAGGGAGGTCCCTGATTTTTCTCACTCCTCCAGGTTTCTTGCAGGGCACATGGAGCTGACAGGAGAAGCGATGCTGCAGCCCACACAACTGTGCAGTAATTTGCCAGGTCTTTCTGAGCAGCAGGTCAGCAACGTGCTGGGCGGGAGCCTGCAAGGCCCCGACCCACTCACTAAGCAGAACCTTGGGGGCATCATTCATCTGCTCTTTTGATGTGGGCCAGAGTCTAAATAACCTTTTGTGGCCGATAGCCTGTTACTGATGCCTGGTGAGGGAACACTATATTTAGACTCCAGCGTGGCAAAGCACTGTCCTGTTGATTCAGCTTCCCTTGTCACGCAAACTTGGCTTTTGTGACATGAAAATGCCACTTAGAGCACTGTTCATCTGGGCTGATACACTGTGCAGGCTAGATGTGTGGGGTTTTGGGGTGACCCCGATGCATCTGGAGTGATGCTGCAGGCATTATGGGTCTGCTGGTCCTTGGCAGGCTGCTGAATTCACAGCTGGCTGGTGCAACTCTACCTGGACATCAGTAGCAAACCTGGGTCAGATGAAAAAACAAAACTTTACTGTGATGCCTTAGAAACAACTTTGCCTAATGTCTCAACATACAGAAGAATAATGTGTGCTTTGTCCACGGGCTGCCAGCGCTGCAATCTTTGATTACCCAACACTGAAATGTGTCCCGGTTCTCTGTCTGTGGCCTCATTCCTACAGATAAATTAAAATTAAATATTGCTGCCACTGCGGTTATCTAATAGATTCTGTTGAGTCTACCTTGGATTAGCCTGACAGCTTTAGCTATTTGGCTTTTGTTTTATGACGGCAGCCCTTGTGCGGTGCTCTGCCCTGACCGTGGGATGACAGGATCTGCTTCTCGGAGCATGTCCTACCCCTCGTGGAGACCTGGGGCTGTGCTTGCTACATCTGCAGTGTCACCACCCGCACTGTGTTGCCCAGCACATAACAGAGGGCACAGATAACTGCTCCTCCTCAATGGCAAGTCTTGTAGCTCCCCTCTAGATAACCCCCTCTCATATCGTCTTTCTCAGATCCACTTCCCGGCCTCTTCCAATGCAGGCACAGACAGAAAGAAAACGTGCGGTGTGAGTGTCTTCTGGAGAAGAGCCTCTGAGCTCCGTGCAGGACTGAGTCGGGCACAGGCTCTGCTTTGGGAATCAGGCTGCAGGTCACTCAGGACCACGCAGGAGTCTGTCGCCTGTGTTGCACACTTCCCACACTCCAAGAGAAGCAAAACAGATGCAGTTTCCTTCTCAGGCAGTGCTGTGCGTGAGCCGTTAGGGATCACAGAGCTGCTTAAATTTGTGCACCAGGATTCATCTTTTGAACATCTGGAGCTGCATTTTCAGGACCAAGAAATCCCTGCAGAAACCTGCCTGAACATGCAAGCCAGTCGTGTTTGGGACCCATACCCTTGTTCATGTCTCCAACTTGAACAGTCCTGGGCACAAGATTCACACATTTGCAGGGAATAGCGGTAGCTTGCAAAATACTGAAGCCAGTAGAGGGCTGGGTGGGAGTAGGTGTTAAAAATCCAGCTCATCAGTCTTGCAGCTGCGTGAACAAGGCTTGTAGCCCTCTGCTACCCTTTGTTAATCTGCCGCAGAGCAGCTGCAGCTTTCCAAAGACGGCTTCATTCCAGCAGCACTCACCTTGCGCAGCAGACACCCTTGGCGCATGCAGCTGTTCTTCCCAGTGGAGAACGGGATTTGCAACCCGGATGTAGCTTACAAGAGCCTACAGCTACTGTGCACGTGGACCTGTGTGATGGCTTTCGACACTGACTTCTGTTTAGTCACCTAAATCAATGGGAACTGGTGGCAAAGCCCCACGTGGATCGGAGTGCGGCTGTGCTTGGGCAGCGGAAAGCGCCTGGGAGGCGGAGGGGATGCGCGTGCTCTGCGCAGCCTCTCCATCCGCTCTCCTGTCTGCTTTGATCTCGCCTGCTCGTGCAGTGGGGGCAGCAGGGCCACCTACCGCGGCCACGGCGCGTCCCCGGGCCCCGGCAGGGAGGTCTGCGCGGGGCTGGGGGTGCGTCTGCATCGAGCGGGTGCCGCATGGGCAGTGCCGCAGCGGCCGCCCCGCCGCCTGCACCCGCGCTGCTGCCTGCACGATGCAGCCCGACCGGGCACGCACGTAGAGGCCGGCAAAAGGGAAGCGAAAGCCCCCGGCTCTGTGCTCCCTGATGCAGGTTGCCAGCATGACTCTGCCCCATCCCACCTTTGGGGATTTAGGTTAGGAGGGACCTTGGGATCCATCTAGCAGTAGCTGTGGGGAGCTTTGGTCACAAACTCCTAGGCAAATCCGCCTCTGAGGTTGTTCTGCACGGGAACGAACTGGGGCACTTTGTTCAGGCCCTCCTCACCCCCAGCCGTATGGGAGGGCTGTGCAAGGCAGGCACGGGGCAGTCAGTGCTGAGGATCCTTGTGGCCAGGATTTCTGGCTAGCGTGGGATATATGCATTCATCACAGAGACCTGCAGCGCGCAGGAAAGACAGGCGGAAAGATGGAAACTCAGAGCCTGACAAGAGATCAAAAACAGGGCAGAAGGCTACCAAAGCCTGTGGGACTGAGACAGGCGGGGGCAGACGGTCCCTACATGGGACTTCTGATGCCGGGTGTTAGGACATGAAGGTGGAGGGACAGTCAGGGAACCAGGGCTGGCTGCTCACTTCACTTGCAGCAAGAAGGGTGAGAGTGGGGGCTGCAGGAACACGTCGCGCTCGCGCTCGGAGCTGTTTGAGTTGAGGAAGTTGTCCGTGGCTGAGTTTCCTTTCCCTCTCTGTGCTATTGAAACAGGAAGCTGGTGAGCTGAAGCCGCTCAGTCGTTGCACACAGGCGCGCGGGCGGCTCTGGCAGCTCCGGCCCTGGCGCTCGGGGTCCCTCGGCCGCTGGCCATGGATCAGTGCTGGTACCACGGCAACATCACGCGCTCCAGGGCCGAGGACCTGCTCTCCAAAGTCGGCAAGGATGGCAGCTTCCTCGTGCGGGCCAGCGAGTCGATCCCCTCGGCGTACGCGCTCTGCGTGCTGTAAGTACCACGCTCGCCCCCACGCAGACACCCGTGTCCCCGCTGGCACAGGGGGCCCTACTTACCCTGTCCTTGCTTGTATGGGAGCGAAGGGCCACTGTGCCACCGGGCAGGTGCTGCCCGCATGAGAGCACCGCTGGTATCACCTCGGTGGGCCGCAGCATTAGGTGGGGTTGGGAGCAGGTTGACCAGACCTGGATATTTACTGCTGTCATAGAATAAACCCCAAGTCTCACCTGTGTCTCTGGAAGAGAGGATAAGTACTCCAAAGTGCTGTTATGACACTTGAAAGAGATAGAAAGAAAATAAGCTCGCGACCTCTTTGAGCCTGTTAGCAGCTTGGCGCCTTGCATTAACGCTAAAGTCTGGGCTTGGTTCCCCACCAGGCACCTTCTCCTGGTGGCGACAGGTCTGTGGGAGGCCTGGAGCTGCGCGTGGTGTGCGGCGGACACCCCCGAGGCGCCTCGGGGGCAATACCCTCGTGGGGCGCACGGAGAGGGGGCGAGCAGGCTGCCCCAGCCCTGCGCTGCGGCCTCCCGGCCTGGCTCTGCGAGGAGCAGGAGGGAGCAGGGTCCCAAGGAGAAGACCTGACCCAGCAGCCAAGGTGAAGCGTGAGGCACCTGAGTGCGGGCTGCAGGGTGGCGACACCTCCACGCTTTTAAGGTGCTCCTGATAAATAACACATACAAGGGGAGCAAACAAGATAGGTGGCCGCAGCTGGGCAGCCCCCAGGACAAGCAGGAGGAAGGAGGGACAGTCGCATTGCACAGGCTCGGTGGCCGCGTTGCCAGGCCAGGAGCATTTTACTGGACTATTGGCTGTGGTTCTCGCTGAGTGGGTTTTGTACGAGCCCTTTGACCGGCGTCCTAACCTGCAGGAGTCCAGGTAAAACACCTCAGCACGTAACAGTGGTGATTTCATAGAAAGGGAAAGTGCTGTAAAAATGTCTACCAACCCGTCTTTGTGCAAGTTTTTTCCATGATAAATGTTTATGCAGCCAACTTTGAAAGCCTTTTGTGACTGGAGAGACCCGGGATCAGGAAACAGAAACAATATCATGACCAGGATTTTCTGAACCGGGAGCCAAAGGTTATATTCTTGAATCCCGTCTGAAGCGGCTCACGGGAACAGTTTAATTAAAGAAATGGGGAGACGCAGCCTTGTCCGCCAAGCGGGGCCAGGCGGGCAGTGGGAATACCGGGATAAACCCAAGCACGGGGCCAGCTTTCTGCTTGCGTTGGTTTGCAGCTGGTCTGCCAAGAGACGCGGCTAAAGGGGGTGAACGAGGCTTTTCCTTGCGAATGTCAACTTGACAAAAATGCAGGGCTCTGCCGACGCTGAAATCACCATCGGGGATGCATCAGGTGTAGCAGGTTATTGACTGGCAGGTGTTTGAAGTCTGAGATCCCTTGTCACTTTTTTAAAACCGGGCTGGCTAGAGACAGCGAATGCAAGGAAACAAGAGGGGAGTTGCAAGCCTGCCTGCTAAAAGCTATTTCAGCAGCCTGGCTTGTGCTGAAATTGAGAAAAATGTCTGTGCAGAGAAGGGAAACAAAGCACCACGAAATTTACTCCGAAAAAGCCCAGTATCATTTCCAACCAAATTCTAATATTTATCAAGCATATCAATCTCCACCCAGCAGAAGGGCTTGTTATGTGCATTTTCACATGACAGAAGGAAACAGTGGTGTTCTTGCAGAGCTCCTTTAGGGACATCGGATCCGGGTAGGTGCAGGCGAGTGGGGAGGTGCGTTTGCAGGGCACTTTCCCGGTGCCTTCCCTCTCTTTGGGGCAGCGCGCAGCAGCAGCAGCAAGATGAGGGATCGCTCCTCCCCCAGCAGCCAGTCCTCTGCCCGGCTGGTCAGAGTGGCCCATAAAAGGCAAGAAGCAGTGTCATTTTCCTCCTCCTCTTTTTTTTCTGTTTCTGCACCGTTTGACTTCACATTTTATACACTAGAAGTGGGCGCTCCAGCTCCCCTGGGGAGGGATGCCTGGGTCTGCAAAGTTAGCCCGGTTTGCTTGGCTTGGGCAAAAGGCTGCACCTGGAGCGGTGTCGCTCCAAAGGATTTTCGGTGCTTGTCCCTGTCCCCATCTCACCCAGCAGCCCTTCCTCACTTGCTCTTCCCTTTCCTCAGCTCGAACCTGTTTGTCGGTGTTAGGAGAGCGGCCTCGTAGGGCTGGAGCGAAGAGGACGTTCAGGAGGGTGCCCAGAGGGTACCGCGGGGCCGGCGTGGTTATCGGTCTCATCATCTCCACGCACACACATTTTCTCTTGTCAGCTGCATGAGCGCTTCTGCTCGGCTCTGTTTGCATATCGGCAGGAGGAAATGGTGTAAGAGAACTGCGCTCACAGATAAAACCAAAACCTATGCCCTTCCTCGGGGCACAGCCTCGGCTGGCAGCGATGGCCCTCGGTGAGCTCGGCACTGCTGTGGCAATGCAAGGGGCTCGAGGTCGAGCCCCTGGCTCTCATCTACGGCTGTCTGGTGGTAGCAACCCCACAGATAGATGAAATGATTGTGAAATGGTCCCGCATGGGTTAGCACAGCGGTACCGAGGTCTGGAAGTAGTTGCCCTTTGCCTTAATGTCATTGAAAAGATGGAGGTTCCTACGGATGTGTGATGAAGTCCTCCAGACACCTTTGAAAAAAACGCGTCTCTGATTTATGAGCTTCCGTTTCCAATTGCTCGTTGTGACTCCCTGCGTCGGGTCACCCACGGTGGCCTGCGCCGCGCACGATTCAGAACGACTTGTGACAAGCCCAGCACAGGGAGCAGAGACAGCAACGCTTCATCCCTCCCCAGCGGGAGGGCTGCGTCAACCGCGTTTCGCGGCGGTCCCGTAGGTAACGCGGTGCTGCTGCCGTGGGCAGGGAAGCTCTGTGCCTGGATTCCTCTGAGAGGAAGGGGTCGAAACCCATCTGTTGGCTGAAAGCCACGTTGCCAAGAGTGTTTTAACAGAGCGCCTTGCGGGTGACTCAGGAGGCTTGATCGATCTGTTCTTCACTGGGGGAAAAAAGCAAGAATACACTTTTTCAGTCAACACTTCTTGAGCAAGTGCCACCAAGCGCAGCAGCTGCTAAGGAAGGTCGGTTCAGCCTGGAGAAGAGAAGGCTGAGAGGGGATCTAATCAGTGTATATAAATACCTCAAGGGAGGGAGTGCAGAGGACGGGGATGGTCTCTTTTCAGTGGTGGCCACTGATAGGACTAGAGGAGATGGCCGGAAACTGAAACATCAAAAATTCCATAGGAACTTAAGGAAAAATTTCTTAACAGTGAGGGTGACAGAGCACTGGAACAGGCTGCCCAGAGAGGTTGTGGAGTCTCCTTCTCTGGAGATCTTCAAAACCCGCTTGGATGCAGTCCTGTGCCACGTGCTTTAGGTGTCCCTGCGTATGCAGGGGGGTTGGACTAGATGATCTCTAGAGGTCCCTTCCAACCCTAAGCATTCTATGATTCTATGATTCTATGATTCTAAGGAAGGTCGTGCTTAGCGCGTTCCTGCCCTGCTCTGCCTTCCCGTCCTGGCCCGCGGGCTGCTGCGTGCAGTGGGGCCCTTCGCTGAGCAAAAATCCCCCTCTCCTCTCACAAGTAATAATCTGATTGTGTTTAACTGGCACAAAATATTTATGGCTGATCTACAGACACACGTATACTGTGCACATCGGCACAGGGATGGTGTGGTCACTTTTAACTTGTGCCGGCTGTTTCGATCTGCTGCGTGGAAGTGTGCCGAACACTCAAATGCCTCCTTGTGGTTTAGCTGCCATCTATTATTTGTTTCTTTCTAATGCTAGCCCTCTGGTTTACTCATTCATTGCTGATTTTGGCCCAGTGTCTTTTGAAATTCTGCTTTTCCATTCCTTCCTGAGACACCCACTCTCCTGACAGCTAGAGCCATTTGGTGTTTTCTTCCTCTCTGGCTAGAAGATGAGCTGAATAACTCGCTCTGAGGCTGGGCTGATATCACTTTTTGCAGTGACATCTGCAAACAAGTCTCAGTGACTGTGAACACTTCAGGTTTGTGTTAGCTGATGGACACAAGCAAAATGGAAAATGTTTAAACCCTGCTGCATGCAGTCACCCCTCTGGGGTCTTCCACTCACAGGCAGGGGTGTCGTGATGCAATTCCTTTCTGAGATGGTCTTAACCACCTTTTTCTGCTCTATTTCAGCTTCCGGAATTGTGTTTACACCTACCGGATTCTGCCTGATAAAGAAAATAAGCTAATTGTTCAGGTAAGCTGTACTGCAACCCGTTTGGTCCCACAGAAAAACACTTGGGTTGCTTGTTGTGCTTTACTGAGCTCCAGCATCATGCTGGAGCCCCTGAGCCCAGCAGCCTTTAATGTGTCAGCTGCCTTTTCTGTGCCTGGGAGCCTCAGCCCAGGAGGTGCCTCTTCCTCTGGAGTCAGCTTTTAATCCATGCTTGTGGATATTTTCAACTCCAAATCATGGTACTATTTACCTGCACCCGGAGAATGCAAAATGACTTGCAGTCTCAGCATCCTGGAGGGAGAAAAGGAGTTTCAGACCTTCTTGACCTGAGCTGCTGCGGGATCCAGAACAAGCCACTTCTCCTTTCTGTACCCTTTCTCAGCCCTCGTCCTCTCCATCTAGACGATGACATTTTGAGGGGGGAAGCCAGAATGAATGACCCCCATTGCTGTGATCTGGGTCTCACACATCATGGGCATGAGGCCAAGCAGAGAGGAGAAAGGCAGAAGCATCACAGGCTCCAAGCGGGTTTGAAAGCCACGTCCAGGGCAGTGTGTCCAAGCACGTTCAGCTGTCCACAACGCGCTCTGCTGCAGGCTGGTCCCCAGGCAGCCGGAAAGATACGGTGCAGGTTGGGCACCCAGTTGTGTGTTACAGCCCAGGAAGGGGCGAGTTTCATTCCCTTCAGTCAGGCGGTTGGTACCAGCTCTGTGATCTTCTGCTGTGGCTAAGGGCTTTTTGAGTAAGCAGAAACTGTGGCCTTGTTCCCCTGCTTCCACTGAAAACTAAGCAACTTTGAGCAAAGCGAGGGCACCCGAGCTGCCCTGGGACGGCTCAGGCTCTGCCCGCCACACACCTCCCCTCTGCCGCTCTGCAGAGCTTTTCACCAAGCTGTAACTCGCTTCACATTTTCTGAGCACTGGGGTAGGTTTCCTTTTCCTTTTCTAATGCGAGCCTGGCCTGCCACTAGTATTTACTCACTTTGTGAGTATTTACTCACTTTGTGCCATATTTTTGCGTGGTTAAACTAACTGGTCCAGGCCAGGCGGTAGTAGGAGAGGTGCATATTTTTGCATTCAGAGTTGCATATTTTTGCATTCAGGCTGAAGAAAAAGTTATTTGCATGTGTCCCTCCAGTGTTTTGGGGCATGCCACATGGTCTGCACTGGCTTTCTGCACCCATGGTAGCTGTGCAGTGGTTAGCATAGCAGGGCTGCAGCCCTCCTCACCTGCTGCATCTCAAATCAAACCAGGTAGATGTTTCGGGGTGAAGCTCACATTCTAGTCTATAATTCTTACAGTCATAGGCGACTTTTTAAAATATCTCTATTTTCCCCTTCTCTTCTGGGACTGCTGAATTCTGTTTTTCCCCTACTGGAGACTACAAACAGGCCAGCAGATCCATGGCTGGGATGAATCAAACTCGCATCCTGCTGATGAAAGCATATCTAAGTGGGGAGGAGCGACCAAAAACCCTTGAAACACAGGACCTGTTAGAGCAACTGGAGAAGTTTCTCTTAGGCTGAGAGCAGTTAGTCCTGGAGACACGTCGCTCGCCTGCAGCCCACGGCGCTGCGGGCTGGGGCAGGCAGAGAGCAGAAGCCGCACGGTGCTGGCACTGGCCAGGAGCAGGGAACCGGCTGCTCCTGCGCGTGGCTGGAAATCGTCTCCATCCCATTCCTTGGCAACAACAAGCTCAAGTTAAGCACACAACGTAACTGTCTCTCTAAGCCAGGCATCTAAGTTCTTGCCATCCACATTCGCAGAGGATGAAACGTCCCTCGTCTGCCCCTTGGAGCGGGTCAGGAGCACCCTGTGCAAGGTGTTGGTCCGCTCCTCGCCATCGCGCGCACCGAGGCCCCTGTGCTGGTAGCATCTCCTCAAGCAGGGGCAGCGCCCTTGTTCCCGTTTCACAAGCAGGGAGCTGCGCCCCGCCGTGTTGAGGAGGATGTGGTTACCCAAAGTTATTTGAAATAGCTCTCCCAAGGTAGTGCCCCAATAACTTTGCCAGGATCAGATGTGTGTTGTATTTAGTGCCATGGGTCTGCTAAGGTCTTAAATTCACTTTGGGCCTGTCCTTTCTTTTTGGGGGGTTCTTGTCTGCTGGCCATTGGGGATACCACCATATACTCCACACAAAGGCACTTGCACTGGTGTTGCTGTCCCCTAATCTTAGCTGTGTAATGAAAGCTGTCACACCTGGTCACAGCTGAGTTGTACCTCTGCAGTCAGCGGTCAAGACACAGGTTTCTGACCTGCGTGGGCTGAATTGCTCTTGGCAGGTCCTGTCTCTCCCTATCAACCAGAGAGCCAGGGGAACCCCTTGGACTTGATGCCACACTCCTGGCAGGCTGAAGTTAGAAGAGGAAATTCCCATCACAGCTCATGCTTGTTCAGCACCTGCTGAGGATGCTTGAAAGCCGTTGAGAAGGTAGAAGGTGCTGGAGCTGTGTGGGGAAAGAGGACGGGCACAGGGTAGTGCGGGATCGCTCTTACCTGTGGAGCTTGATCTCCTGGGTTCCCAGTTCATCTCAAGGGAGGGTTCACAGCTCCTGTTATCTCTCAGCAATCTAGCAGTCATTGCTCAGTAGCAGCTGGATCACATCTAGCTCGTCTAGACGTATGCTCATCTTCTGAGAGCGAGCACCTCACAGGTCAGGCTTGCAGAATCGAGCCCTTATTGATTGAAGAGTGGGGGCAGATTCTCTGATGGACCCACGGCAGTACTGCAGAATAGGGTGACAACCAAAGATGCCTTTAATAGAGTGACAACCAAAGATGCCTTTGAGCAGAGCCCCTGCAGAGAGCCAGACTGGTGCGTGTGGGGACAGCGCTGAGCTGAGTGCTGCGGGTGCAGCTCCGTGGGAGCCTGGGCCTGCAGGGAGGCTGTGGGAGCTCCACCAGACACAGCACGTGTCCTGCGGCCTCCCTGCACATCCCTGCTTGCGGGGCTCAGTCTGGCCTCTGTTTCTCTCCATATTTTATGAGGTTCTGCCCAACTCCTCAGTGTTTCCCATGGCCTTGCCCTAATGCTTCGCCTCAGCCACGCAGCGCTTGCATTTTCACCCTCTTGTGAGAAGCAGTCCCAGAAAGGTGTTGTCTTTGGGCGCTGTATTAAGGAACGGCATAGTGGCATGGAAAACATTAGTATTTTTAAACTTTCTGCCTTTCTTTTGCATTCTGCTTCGCCTTGCCGTACCGTCCTCGCTGCCTGACTCTGCGATAGGAAGAAGTGATGGGACGCGCCATCCTACGGCTCACTCCATGCAACTCCTTCATGTTGCAGTTCTGGGGCCAGGCTGTGTTTGCATCGAAACTCGCAAGGGATTTATATTAGTTATATTGAATATTATTTATATGTACCGTTCATTGCAAAGGGGAGGGTCTGATCCTACTTACTTGTAGGTTCTTACTTGCTTGGGTGAAAATTAGGATGCTCTGGCCATCCTGTTTTACATCAAGTGAACATCTCGCTTTATTTTTTTCCCTTTTCTGGCGGTGTTTTTGCTAGCCTGGCGCGAGGCTGTGTGCAACAGGAAGCAGCGGGTGCTGCGCGAGCAGCCGGCGCGCGGGCCGGCGGCTGTGACTCACCGTATCAACCGCCGCCGTAACGCTGTAGGCTCCCGGCGCGCTCGCGCTACTGCCTCCCAGAAGCCAACAGGTAGCGCGCGCGGGGCTTCCTGCGGGAAGCCTCTGTCTCCAGGCCACCTCCAGAGAAGGCCAAATCCAGGGATGCCCCCAAAATCGCGGAGCTTGGGGAACCGTCTGCCAAAGTGCCACGAGCTCGTCAGCGTGCGGAGCTGCAGGGCGCCCCGGAACGCAGGATCGTGCGGTCTGGGGAGCAGGAAATTTGCAGACAATTTTAATGCTGGGAATGGAATTGATTTCATCACAATATTTTGAAACGTGGCGAGGGAAACGCATTTCTAGCACTCTCAAATATAGAATCAAATCACATTAAGCTTCATTTTATTACTGTAGATAGCAGCTATTCCAATTTCATTTTTTTTCCATAAGTTTTATGGTATTTTAAAGCAATCCGTAAAGCTCTTGCCACTCCTCACATGCAGAGCTCAAATTAATTTGCAGTCAGGCTTGAGCAGACACTGTGTACTTTAAGTTTCTGTAATCTATCCAAATCTGTTTATACAAGGAAAACGTTCTTTCCGCTGTTACATCTGAGGTAGGAAGAAACATAATACATTTCGCAGGTCTTAAAAACCTGAAAGAAGCCGCATTTCATGGTGGAGCACATGGCATTTCCTGAAGCATGCAGGGCCCTGCCACTGAATCACTCCGTATACAAAATGCTTCATCCAAACAATCCATATCCAGCTTTTGTCCAGTTTCAGCCCTTGCAGTGTGCTTCCAGTTTCTGGAAAATACCAAAAAATGGTTGGAGAAGGTGGCGTAATTCAGGGGTTTTTTTTGTGAGCTTCAAGAAGTGAAATTGGATATTGGAAGCTAATGTCTATGATGAAATGCAATCCCCTCCATTTCATCTGGGGAGATGGTTTTTAGCTAAAATTGAACTTCATTTCATGCCAAAAATTGTCATCAATGGTTGTTACTACTTGCACTCCAGTAAACGTGTTATGGCATCGACCGCACGCAGAAGAGCAGATTGTTCTTATTTTAAAACTCTACCTAAAAAAAAAAAAAAAAATGAACATACAGAACTAACTTAGCTGCACCAACTGCAAAATATTTTAAGATCCAGCAGCTATGGCACTGCTGGAGGGCTCTCTCTGTAGTGAGTTTTGTTTTGGAAGAGCAACTGCTTCTCCTTTTTGCCTTCTCCGAGGGCTGCAAGCGCCCGCTGCTGTATCCCAGTGCTCCCCGTTGGACACAGCAGCTCCCACGGAGGCTCCGGGCGGCAGAGAGGAGCAGAGACGTGCTGGGGAGGGCTGCTGTCCCCATGGAGATTGCCATCCCAAATCAAGGGGCCTTTTTAAAGGCAGCGGATAGTAACCTCTGGAAATGGTTTGGGGTTTGTAATAGGTAGTGTTGGTTTGTTTTGG